ATTGTTAGCAGTGGAGCAGAAATCTCTTTTGACACTTTCCTCCTTTGGTAATGTTAAGGTAATCCCCTTCTTATCACAGGGTAATGTGGCAAGAGCTCTGGTGATAAACATAACTCTATGGTGACTAACTTTTGTTTTCTTTAAGGGGCAAACTAGGCTGTGAAGATTAAAATCCTGCTCATCCGACTCTCTTAGAGGAATAAAAATATTGTTTTTAATTAATGAGTTGAGTTATTCTTGTTGGCAGATGAAAATTAGCAAACATTGTTCATTGTACCACAACTTATTCACCAAATATTCTATTGATTGTAGTATTTTGTCTTCATATGTTGCATGACTTTCTGCATCTAAACATGGTCTTTCTTCAGTCTGCTCATGAGTATCATTTTCGATCTTTCTTAAAATCTTCTAATCTCCTTATTTTGGCAATATTTTCTGTAATTTGGTAAGCTCCAAATCTTTGTTGTTTCTTTTGTTTTTTTAAGATTTATTTGTTCTTTCTGATATCTCCATTTTAAAATATCAATTTTAATTTAAGTCACTAACTTAAAAACAAAACACAACTTTGTTCTAAATAAATCTTCTACTTAACTTCTTAATACAAGTATAACTAATATTTCTGTAACTGGGTATATTTTACTAGCATGCTATTGTAGCACTACAAGAAATAACGTTTAGAAAACCCCTGAATTACAGAGTATATGCATTTTTTTTTCTTACTTTGAAATTTCTTTCTAAAAAAAATTTTGTCATTCTTTGATTACTTTTTATAGGTATGATGTTAATGGCTCATTATTTTATTGGAACACCAACTATTTTAATGGATTTATTACTTAAAACTTGATATTTTTTATTTTTAACCAATTTGTAATGCGTTACCAAACAATAGATATCACATTATTACTTCTTTATCCCAAGGCCAATCATATAGCCCCAGTTATCCAGAGTAGTAATAAACAACTACACAGTAAGAGTCCAAGGCCTCACATAATCTTATCACCCAAACCTTGACCCATAATGTCCCAATAGAAATTATTGAGGTATACCCAATTTATCTATTTTATGGAGTAGTATTTCTTAAGTAATAAGAAAATTGAAAAACTTCACGAAAACCCAATAAAAACATATGAATTATGGTCACTAACTTCTAATTTAGATATTTTTACAAGTTGCCAAGGCCTCCGAAATGTCTATGTTAAACTGAGTATATGCATAATCTAAAACGTAAAAAAGGTGGAATTCAAGCCAGTCCTCTTGAGCATTGGAAGTATTACATACATACTTAAGACAACAATATCTGGTCATAGTTTTGTTGCTAAGCAACTTGGATGAATGGAGCATTACCAAAAGACAACTGGCTTTTATATATATATAAAACATATATATATATAAGATTCCAAGTATGTGCAGATTTCACACAACACGTAGTCAAGAAAGTTGATAAGTTTTTTTTCAAGCTGCTATTATTCCTTTGTCATTTTATAGAAGCCACACCTCTTCTGCCCGACGAGAAATGGTTGTAATGCTGCAAGAATATAGACAGCAGTGTTCTTCAATGGTAGATGTGGTAGTTTTCTCCAGGTTACAGCATCACCTGCGCTAATGAGAATAAGCAATCATATGAGTAGTGCTAGTCACTCTAGGTAAATTCCACATTGATTGTGAAGTAGGGAATACTAAGTCTCAAGTCTGGTAGAAGATCTTAGCCTGACCAGTTGGAGAGAACAGTTTTAATCTAGTACAAGCAACAGTCCCTCATCCAAAGCAAGTACACACGGTGTTTGGGTTATAATAAATATCGTGCTTTTACATTGTGTCCAGTCTCTTTATTTCATTCATATGAACTCAAGGTTATTTCATAATAAGTATCTTTTAGAATCTCCTGTTATTTTGCAGGTTTATCCCATAACTTTAAGGCAAGACTCTTCAACATTTTTTTAAGGATGTCAGATTGGAAAGCAAGCAGGCAAGCCCAAAGTATTTTACTATGCACATTTTGAAGCAACATAATAAATTTATAATATTTGTATACTGAACAAATTTCAGCAAATAATAGTACTTCAATGACAGAACTGTGTAACATTTAAAGAGGAAGTATCATTACAAACATTTCTAAATTTTTATAGGACGGTGCACAGAGTATTTTTTAAGATAAAATTATTATATCTTTCAATACCATTAAGTGCTTGTTTTAAGATTTTGTATCTCATTATTGCAAATTGATTTATGATCTATTTTTATAACTTTTTGGTCATTGTCAATGGGCCACTTAGTTATCTGTCCCACTACTTGAAGAGCCCTATTATAAGGAAAATGTGTTTCATCTGAAAATACTAGAGTATTTTAGTTAATACAATGACCAGAGGATACTGAAAGAACTTTAAAGTGCTTTTTATTTATAATGGTGTTGAATGTAACAAGATGATAGGAAGCTGCAAATTGAAATAAAGTATAATGTCTGTATATATATATAAAAAATTATGCACTAATAGATAAAACCTTTTCTGTTGGACATTACTCTGCCCCTAAAAAAATACAATTATTATTGTTTGTTGTTAATATAAAATAGAAATTGTTGCCAGCATCAAAAAGAATTTTATAATTGTGGTTAATCACTTTTATGCTACTGAACACAACATGTAATATATATATATATATATATATTTAGTGATAGCACAATTGACCTAAAACACAGATACACACCAGTAATTTCAAAATGTCTATACTTTGCGAGGTGATAAAATCTGACACGTAAATGTTGTAAACAAAGTATAAAATAGGGAGTTTCAGGTAAGATAATAGTAATATACTAATACCTTGATTAATGCAAACTTGACAGAATTCAATTGGTTCTGAAGACATTTAGAAAAAAAATAATATAATTTCTCTCTCTCCTCTAGCCAATCAGTGTGCATTGACATCAGCAGCCAATCAGCATTTACTAGGTCAGTTATTTAGCTTCCCTCTGCTATATTGTGCTAATGTGTGCATTATTTATAATTTTTTGGCAGAAAAAGTTAGTTTAAAGTGATAATAATATGCCAACCATTAGAGCAATTTTATAAAATGCTGAGAAGACAAAAGCATGTTTAATCCAGCACTTTGTTAACTGCTACAAAATAACATGTTCATGAAGCAGTTTGATGAAAGAGATGGAAAACTATTAGTGCACTGGATTGATGATCAAGCCCAGCATCATATACCAATGAGTCAATCCATCATTAAGCACAAGGCAAAAAGCATTTATGAACACTTAAAAGAAGAGGAAGGCAAGGCAGTGAGTCAATGCTGGTTTTACAACTTTAAAAGGCAGTGCAATCTTCACAGCATATGCATTAGTTGTGAATCTGCTAGCAGTGATGCCGAGGCAGGACGAAAATTTTCTGAGTACTTGAAGCAAGTTATTTAAAATGGTGACTTTCCTCTGAAGAGAAGCAGGCTTTAAGGCTGCCAAGGATTGCCTTATGCTTCTGTTTTAGCAGGAATGCTTGAGGTGATTTGAAGTTGAAACCACCACTTGTTTATCACTCTGAAACACCTAGAGTTATAAATTGGTTTCTCTAAGGTGCATTTACCGGTGATATGGAGGTCAAATAGGAAGGCCTGGGTGATGCAGGACGTTTTTGGTTTATAAACCATTTTTGCCACAGTGTCAAATCCCATCGTGGGGATAAAGTATTTGAAACAAAGGCATTGTTACTTCTTGACAATGCTCCCAGTCACCCACAGAACCTTGCAAACCTCCTGACTCTACTACCTGTTGATATTGTCTTCCTTCCTAAAGCTTCAGCCATTGGACCAAGGCGTTATTGCTATATTTAAAGCATACTATCTGAGGCTATTAATGTAGAAGATAAACATTCAAGTAGGGAATTGTGGAAATCATATAACATCATATTGGCAACTGAAAACATCAAAGAGGTATGGAAGGAAGTTACAGTCAATTTTATGAGTGGTGTTTGGTAGAAGGTATGGCCTGAGGTCATAATTGATTACAATAGTTTTGCTGAAGAGGAAATGGCAGTGATAACCAGAGAAATTGCCAAGGCGGCCAACCAAGTAGGACTGCATGAAGTTGATGAGGAGAATGTGGAGGAATTACTTGACTATCACAGGGAGGGTTTAACAAATGAAGAGTTGCAAGAAATGGTTGAACAACAAGCCAGAGAAGAGGGCACAGAAGCTAAACCAGAGAGGATTCTTAAATATTTTTTTTTACCAGAGACTCATGACAAATTTACAGAGTTGCTGAATGTCCTCTCTGAGAATGATCCAGATTTTGAGCACACCTGCAACATAAAGCAGGCTGTTCTTGGTTCCCTATCCTGCTATAAAGAACTCCTTCATCAGCAAGAGTGAAAGGCATGCAAGACAACACTTATAGACTTGTTCAAGAAGAAATCTACCTCTACAGCTTCAAAGGACAATGAACAACAGCCAGGTTGATCATCCAATCCCTCTCTGTAGTCCCCATTGTTTTATGCCTTTAATACAGCTGTGAATATGACAAAAAAAAAAGCTGAAACAAAGAAAACTTTCATTTGAAGCTCTTATACTTGCAAAATGTGTTTGTGTTTGTTATAGTGGTTACATATTTATTAAAATCATAAGATCATGGTAACAAAAATAGACATAAAATTACCTTAAACATTTTGAGAATTTTGAAACAGTAAACAAGAATGATTTTAAAGGCATAAAAGAAATAAAGACAATAATATATGACAAGATAGTTTTGTAGTAATTTTATGACATATAATATTTAAAATTGAAAAATATCACCCACAAATGGTTTAAATTTTGTAGCCAATACTTTGAACACTGTCACAGACTTAAACATGGACTTTATCTTCCAAATTATATGTCACTACTAGTTACAACATTTTGCTAAACTTAAAAATAACAAACACTAATTAAAACTTTTGTCCACATAAATATGTTTTATTAAAATCAATAATTTCAATTGGCATATTTTGCTTTAAATAGATCTGATTTAGTCTGGAAAACACAATACAGTATATTTGGAAAGTTTGAGAAAGAAACTTTCATTAACATAACAATTATATTAAACAAACTAATTCCCAGTTTAAGTCACAATCAATGAAAACCAGTGTGTATCACAGAAAAACACTTAACTGTGATATTGTCTTGCTTATATTTACTTAACATGTTATATATTTCCTCCCTGTAATGAGGATACCAGTCTAAGATACATTTTACTCATCAGTGTATCTTTCAATTTTATATTAACAAAAATGTCACACAATTTAGCCATTTGTAACAAAATACCAGAACTCCTAGCCATAGTCCATAAGAGACCTTCTTAAAAATATGTGGTGAGAATATATATGTAAACCAGATTTGTATTTGGAAAAAAAAAACAAAAACAAAACAACATCACACTGCATGTCTACATATTCAAGAAGCTCTCACATATGCTACATTTTTAAGTTTCCTTAGCTGCTGACATTAGGCTGGCCTGGTCTTTCCTAAGGTATTGGTTCTTTCTAGACTGACCAACTCCAAGATGGATTTTTCCATCAGCCTACAGTTTTCACTGGAAATATCCAACAGGAAACTTGACTGATCTCCAGCATGCTGCTATAAGTTGAGAAATAGGAAATTTGTTTCATAGTATTTCTTATAGTTTTACTATTTTTTAGACAGCTTTTCTGTTTCTAATATTTTCTCCTATCTAAACATTTTTCTAATAATTTATTTATATAAATGAATTATACAAATCATTTCTATTTTCTACATGGTATTGTACAAGTGAATAAAATACAGCTGATAATATTTGGGGATAAACATAGGGTAAAATCTTTTAAGAATGAGTAGCTATGATTATTCAAAATGAAATTAATCTTTATTATTTCTCATAAGCCAAATGTCTTAAGACTGTAGATTTCTTATTCTCATATATGCCAATTTGTTTTATTATGCTTTCTTTCTGTTCTCACACCTGGAAACAATACCTCAGAATAAGTCACACAAAGAATGCCAACAGTGCTGTAAGATATAAATAAACACTGTCTTTTCTCAAACGTTTTTCCCAAGAAAATTTTTGGGTAAAGCTATAAGGGTTGTGAGTTCCATTACAGTTTCCAGTTTGTTGAGGGCAGATTTCATATCCTTGACAAGAAATAGCTTACCTTTAACTCCTGCTCACTATAACATGGTGTATTGGTAGTTCAAAATTTCAGTTATAACGACACTTCAACGAACATCTTAACATATCCAGTATATTTCTATGCACATACAACCTGTAATGATCCATTTTTTTTGTCTAATGACTTTCAATTTCTCTTCAACTTGTAATGAGCAGGAATTGAGGAAAAAGGAAGCTATTCTCCTCAAGGATCTAAAAATCTTCCCTCAGCAACAAAAAATGTAAAGGAATTTCTTCTTTGCACTAACTTTTCCTGGAGCAAAAAGTTAAAGATAACTGTAAAATTGGGAAAAGAATAAAATCACTTTAGAAAGTAGAGAAGTTACAATGATGTACCTAATAATTACACAACCTACTTTTATCAACTCCATGAAGAATGCCACTTTATTAAATAAACAGGAAATAAATGGAACAAAATTACTAAAAGGACTCGTATAGAATTTTGTTGTTGACACACTATTATACATTCTTATGTATTTTAACTTATAAGTTCTTAGAATTAATATCTAGTGGAACTGCACTTTACAATATTTAACAATGAAAAAACTGTTATACATGGTATTCAAACCTGGATGAGGGTGTTCTTCAAGTTTGGTTATTAGGAATCCTTTTGCAGGGAATGATCAAAGATGAAACACGCCTGTTTGACAGGGTTCATCTCCAATGGTTAACCTGGTCGCGTCAGAGTTATGTCAGTTTGAAAATTTACAGTAAATTTTATCATTTAAAGAAAACAGTAACATTATTACAAGTTCTTTCTAACAGTAAAAAAAAAGAACCCAACCAAATGAGTTATTCTTACATTCATCAAGATTGGTTTCCCAGCATCTGAAGGAGCTTGTGAGGGGCTTGCACAGAGGGAATCTTCTGAAGCTAAGTGATCTGCCCACTGGATTGTCTTACTTGTTCCTGCAGAGAAATCAACTGTCTTTTATAATGAAAACAAATCTTTTCTATCTCGGTAAGTCAAAATCACATTTTATTACAAGAAACAGATAGCAGCAAACTTATTTTAGGTTTCAATATGCCAACTCAGAATAAATCTAATACAAGTTAAAGAATTATATTACTAAACTTTACCATTTCAAATAAGTTATAACTATAGAGTTATTATTTATTGCTACAATAAAAAAAAAGTATTTTAATCTCACCTAAGAGTAACACAATCTATGAATTCAATCTTAACACTATACTAGTAATAAAAATGTGCTAACAAGATGTTTCTTGTACAGTACAGGAATGAAGAGAGGCAATTGACAGTTTCAATGTTGCCACAATTATTATGGTGTGAACACCTTTTATAGATGTTCTCTGTACAGTACAGGAATGTAGCGAGGTAAGTGACAGTTTCAATGTTGCCACAATAATTATGGTGTGAACACTTTTACAGATGTGCCAACAAGACGTTCTCTGTACAGTACAGAAATGTAGCGAGGCAAGTGACAGTTTCAATGTTGCCACAATAATTATGGTGTGAACACATTTTATAGATGTGCCAACAAGATGTTCTCTGTACAGTAGAGGAATGTAGCAAGGTAAGTGACAGCTTCAATGTTGCCACAATAATTATGGTGTGAACACCTTTTATAGATGTGTCAACAATACGTTCTCTGTACAGTAGAGAAATGAAGCAAGACAAGTGACAGTTTCAATGTTGCCACAATAATTATGGTGTGAACACTTTTACAGATGTGCCAACAAGATGTTCTCTGTACAGTACAGGAATGTAGCAAGGTAAGTGACAGCTTCAATGTTGCCACAATAATTATGGTGTGAACACTTTTTATAGATGTGCCAACAATACATTCTCTGTACAGTACAGAAATGTAGTGAGACAAGTGACAGCTTCAATGTTGCCACAATAATTATGGTGTGAACACTTTTTATAGATGTGCCAACAATACATTCTCTGTACAGTACAGAAATGTAGTGAGACAAGTGACAGCTTCAATGTTGCCACAATAATTATGGTGTGAACACCTTTTCTAAGCCAGTGAACTATGATCATGGTTAATCATACTTGTCATAAGACATTAGCATTAATCCTATTATATTTTTAGCATATAACAGTATTTCAACGTCGTGTTATACTAATGTCTTATAAAAAGCATATGTATATTCTTCAATGAAAACTTAATTGAAATTCTAGTGAAACTGGTAAATTAAAGAGAATTAGATATTATCAGTGAACTCTATTGATTTCTGTTATGTTCAGAATATGAACATAATGTATATATTTTGTTATACTTTTTTAGAGAAATGAAAACAACAACCATGGAGTTTTAATAAATAAGAAAATAAAGAGTATGTTTTGCTTTGTTTACCTGATCAGTTCCAGCTATTATAACAAATGATGACCCTACTGGTTGAGTAAAGTACAATAAAATACTAACACTGCTTTGCAACAATTGGTTCATGCCTCAATGTATCTGTATCACTCAAATTTCTGCTATAAGTTAACTTCGTGAGCAGTCTCATTGTAAATTACAATGAGCACAAGGCACCAACATGGCCATTACAAAACAACAAACTCTTGGTTGTAATATTACTTTCAAAGATTATTTTGATATCTTAGATAGAAAAAACAATAACAGAAAAAAGTGTTGGGTTAATTCGTATGTTTACAAGTAATCATGATTGATAATTTGAAAAGCATCACTAAAACTAATCACGTTTAAAAGCATTTTCCCATCTATTACTAAAATTGGAAACAAAGAGATGGGTCGTACAATTTTTGAAAAGCCACAACTATACTATGGTATTGATGGTATTAGTTATTGTTAATATCATCATATTTTATCTTTTCATAATTAGTAATAAATATCTTTAAGGATGTACTTATTTCTCTAAATTGCCAGAAGTGTGATAAACATTTGGCTTGGGTAAAGTTTATGTGTGACAGCTAATTCCTAAGTTTCAAGCTAGAGCATACAATAAAAACCTCCCATAAAGCCTATTAAAAAAAAGAAAAAAAAAGTAATATTGAAAATATTACAATCTGACTTTGGATGTTTAGGATTATGTAAAATGATGGTTGATGCATCTAATCTAATGATTGTGGCATAATGCATTTGGTTTGACTATAAAATTGGGATATTCACACAATTTAATCTCTATTTCTGGACTGTCTCTTGATTTGCTCTTGTATGGAAGCACTCTCTCTTCACCTCAGAAGCCAGTTGAAGTCACAGAGCTAGAAGATCAGCCAGTGTGGCAACATTATACTGTAATTGTGAATAAAGAGTTTTATTTGTTCACTTGTTACAGGTTAGATAACTGTTAATTTCAACCTTCCATAACTAGTTTATTATACATCTGTATCGTATAGAAGTTTGAACCAGTGTTTACCTTCTTATTCCATAGAGTGACACAGATAATGCCAACTAGTAGGTAATAGCTAAGGGGGGTGGGGGCTATCTCCCCTACACGTGATTTGGAAGAGTCACTGATGTAGGTAATTAAAGAACAATAGGATACTGCATTAGTATCCTCATTGGCTTTAAAGTGTTGTATAACATCAGAGTTCGAAAAATTCTCCATCAGCTTGTCTGGAGCAAGCAGATTTCATTGGAGGACGTTTATGTTATCAAATGTACATGTCTGCCTGGTCAAGTAAAAATTTTAAAGCTCTATATAATAGATTTCCAGAAGTATAACGTTTTGAATAGAGCAATTGCCATATTGATATTATTTCTAGGTCTTGTGTGTGTGTGTGGGACCGATCATTCGTATAAACAGATAAGTATTTGAAAACAAACTAATGTCAAAAAAAAAGAAGAAGAAAAACACATTTAACAAAAATGTGGAATGTGCTGTTGCTGTTACTTGACATAAAATGGAAAAATTTTCTATTACCACTGGTTCCCGAGTTGCACAGAATACATTTTTTTATAATAAAATTCTAGGGCTAATTTTAATTTCCTACTTCTTATTGTCTTATTTTCCTACTCGTATATCTTGTTAATTGTAGCGTTACCAGATTTAAAGTTTATTCATTTTTTATAGTTATAAACATATTGTGATGTATGCTAGACTTAGTTTTGTATATGTCATTAAGATTTTGATTTTTCAATTTACAGTTTATAATTTGAAGTTTAATCATTTAATTTATTTAATTCAAGTTTCTTAGAATTTAAATTTCTTATGTTTAACACCAAAATAAACCAAAAATAAGACTAAAAATTACTGAATGGCTTGAATCTCTGAAGAGTTGAAACATCTATACATAATTTCAATGATTTGAAGTAAAAGTTTAAGTTAATCTAGCAAAATTACCCATCCCCAGTGACAGAAAACATTTAAGTTAATCTATCAATTTAAATTATTTCTTGAACTTTAAAAAGGTTAATTGTGTTGCATTCTTGGTTTCACTCAGATCCACCCACCGTGAAAAGTAATTATTGAGTATTTCATTAATGCTCAACAATAACACATGATAAATCTACATTTTTATTTTTTACGTTACATCAAATTTTGAAATGTGAATGATAGTATGATTAATTTCTAGCAATTTAGTGTAGAATATCCTTCTTACAAAATAAAATTTGGTACCAACATTATTCATGCCTGTCCTCCTGTTATTTCAAAAGTGAATGTTGAGCTTTGCCTGCATGTATAGCTTTTCAAACAGGAGACAGATGAATGCTCAGACAGACACCATGGTTTGCAATATATATATCACTAGATCACACCATCCCAGTCATGCCAATAGCAATCAAACTAATCATGACACTGATAGTGACAAGTCTTACTCCAAGACTATTATTACTTCTAAATGTTGATACATAATGATGACAAGTTGAAAAGGCTATTTAAAGAAGATTGAAAAAGTGAATATAGATGGGTAAAATATAACATAACATAATATTTTGGGACAACATGGGACCTATTGGTCCATCTCAGCTGTTCCATTCTCAAAACTAGATTAAAGAAATAAAATAAAAAATTTCAACCCAGCCCTTTTATATATACTCATCAAGTTTTTTCTTAAATTCACTTAAAATTACTGCCTCTACAACATATGAAGGCAACCCATTCCAAAGGCCAACCACCCTGTTAGAAAAATAAAACTGTCTTAGCTGAAGATGACTCCTACCTTGCTAAAATTTATATTTGTGTCCCCTAATCCTACTATTTTCATTGTTATGTATATAAAAAAAAAAAATTATACATCAACACTATCAATTCCCTTTACAATTTTAAACACCTCAATGAGATCACCACCTAAATCTTTTTTCAAGAGAAAACAATTTGAGAGATTTCAGCCTCTCGTTGTAAGACAACACCTCCATCCTAGGCACCATTCTAGTATCCCTTCTCTCAACCCTTTCCAACAATTCAATGTCCTTCCTA